AAAATAAGTTTGCTCAACATTGGGAAAAATGATAGTTTCTTACAGAAAAGTTTTGGCACTATGTACTAAAGATCTTAAAATTATCCTGCAATACTGTCACTTCATTTACAAGTTTGCAACCTGAGAAATTTCATTCAATCAGTATTTTACTGGGTGTACTGTTTCAGATACTTGAAGATGAGCAAATATTTGCATGTAAGTAGTTAGTAGTAACTGTGGCCCTGTGAGCAAATAACTGTCCAGTGAGGGAAGCGGTGAATCATTTGTATAAGAACTTTTCAGCTATAAAGTATTATGATTGATGAATGATAAATGACCAATATATATGATGCTCTCTAAATAAACAGTGGCTAATATTTGAGGCATGATGCCAGTAATCCCCACTTCAAGCAATAGATTTGGAACATGTAAATAGCATGAAGACAGGTTTTCCTCCTCTACAATGTGTGCCAGAGCTATAGCAGAAAGGATCATTAATATTCAATTCACTTCATAACTTCTTTTTCCTTGTGTATTCTATGTGGAGGGTTTCAGAGAGAACATGCCATGGTGCAGGTGTGGAGGCCAGGGAACAGCTCATTGTTTGGGTTCTGGAGATTGAATTTAGACCTTCAGTCTGGGCATCTGGTGCTGGACCCACTGAGCAATCTAGCTGACTGGAGGCATCGTCTTTGAAGGATGTGGAGCAGCCTTTCTAATACCCAGAAATCTTTGTTAAGACACCAGAGTATTGCCTTTGGATATGCAGCATCTTAAGGTGTATATGCAGGTACACATTGCCTTATTATTTCTAGAACACTTACAAATGTAGTTTAAAAAAAAAAAAAACACTACATGCCTAGCTCACAGCACATTCAATTGAATAGTCAGTCAGAAATGGGACTTGTGTTAACAGCAAGAATTTCTATTATGTCTTGGTTTTTAGGAAAGATCCTTAGTGTGATATTTATCTCCTTTTAAATTATCTCACTTTTTTAGATCATGTATTCAGATGAATGAAATATTTTGCCTACATGTTTTAAATTGATTTTACATATCAAAGTAATTTTAAAAATCATATAATAGTGTATATACATATATAATAGTGCTTGTTGTTTGCTTGAGTATGCACACATATATGGGTGTGCACTTGTCCTATGTACCTATGTAGAGGTCAGAAGTACATCTCTGGTGTCTTTATCATTATCCATATTTTTTGATAGGGTCTCTCACTGAACCAGAAGTTGGTTGTTTAGGTACCCCCAATCTGTCTGTCTCTGGCCTTGCTTCTCAGCACTAGGGTTACAGACAGCACCATGCCTGACTTGTACATGGCTACTAAAGAGACTCTGATCTTCATGTTTGCACAACAATTACTTATCCACAGAGCAATCTCTCTAGCCCTATAGATAATTTTTAAGATGGAGAATTATTACACGATTCATGTAATTTTGGTAGTACTCAACCTTCAAGGCTGGTTGAATTTACTTGGTGAGTGTTTTCAGCAGGAGAGGAGAGTGGGCTGCATCCTGAGTTTCCTTATGGGGAGGGTAAAGAGCACAGAGACCTCCTCCTGGTGAATCTGGCCTCAGGGTCTCCCAGTAGACTCTGTTGATGCCTTTCATATTACTGACCAGTCATCTGGAAAATGAGATGAAGCTCGGTGGTGACTAGGATAGCTGTGTTACCATTGGTGTAAATGAAGACATCCACCAACATTAGTCTCAAGGGGAAATGGCCCACTTCTCCTTTACAGTTGATTTTCAAGTTCTTAATGGAGATCCAACATAGAGAAGCAAAGTTGAGAGCATTGAGTGTTGAAGGGGCTGTGATGGTGATTATACAAAAGGGGGAGATCAGCACCAACAAATGCCAACAGCGTGCTAGGTCAAAAGTTAAGAATGAGTTGAGCTGTGAGAAAATGTTGCACTTCCGTACTAGGAGGGTAGTGGTGGTGGGTTTGAGGGGAAAAAGAAAATCCAGAGAGGAGGAACAGCGCCCTATGGGTGAGGACTGGGAGGACTGGGAGGTGGTCCCCTAAACCCCAGCATGAATACGGTGTTGTAACGCCTGGAGCGCCATCTGGTGGGGGAAGTCAGTTTGTCAAGGAAGACACTTGAATGTAAACTTTCAAGTTTTGACACATTTTGGTACTGAAAGGAAGGTGAAAGAGAAACAGAGATTTACCCAGGAAAAATACTGGTGACTTATACCTTAATAAGGAAAAGTGTTTTCTGAACTGGCTACAGTCCTGGAATAAAGGGAGGTGGTGAGGGTAAGGAGTTGAAGTACAGAGGCCAACTCAGAAGAGGAATATCTTCTGGGAGAAGAGCAGGAGAAGAGAAGGTGCAACAAAGAGCAGGCAGGACATTGTGGGCCAATGGGACTCATTTAATTCTGTCTCTTATAAAAATATTCCAGGGCCTTACAATAATGCCCTAAGATCCTGGAGAAAATTGAGTGACACCATGAAGTTCTCAGTGTACTGTGTGGAAGACAAGATAGGACCAGACAGAACTTGAGACTGAGGACACAAGCTAATGAGTTTTCATGTCATCATCTCCACATCACAGTCTCATAAAGAGGGAATGCTGAGAAAGCCAATTTCCTGGCATAGTGTAAGGCTGGAAGGGGTAGCCTATGCAGCTTCTTAGATAAAGGTCCTGCAAGTCACAGCCAGAGTGATCATTCCCAAAGAGAGCTACAGGAGATGACAAGGGAAATGTATTTCTTGAGACAGAAAAAGAAGATGAGGGTTAAGTTCATCTGGTTAGGAAAGGGTAGAATAGAATTAAGGATTTGGGGAGAGAGATTGTGAAAGGAGGTAAAATTTGATTAACAGCATAAAGTAAAAACTAGGGAAGATATGACAGGTAAAAACATTCAGTTTAAAATGTGGCTAGTTTAGAAACTATTTTCAGTATTCCATGCTTGGCACCCCATATTTCGCAGCACCCTAACAGAGATATTTGACCTAATGGAAAAAGTTAGCCTTAGAATGAAATAGTATCTCCTTCTCTTTCCACTACCCTCAGTGCTCTCATTTTCTTTTTTATCTAGGGTAGATGGAATGACCAGTCATTATCATGTGTTTGATCCTCCATACAACCACATACATTCTCTGGTCTTTTTCTGATACAGCCACGGAGAAACTGTCTGAACACCTACCATTTACTTCCCTCCTGTATCTGGACAGCCCTTACTCATAGGGAAAAGTTCTGTCATCCTGTATTGGGCTATATAGGACCAGTTGTGAAAAAAACATTTATGTGACCATAAAATCACATAATGTGAGTTAAAGAAATGCATGATCCTTATTTATCTATCTATTTAGGTTTTCCAAGACAGGGTTTTTCTTGATAAGCCTTGGCTTATCCTGGACTTGCTTTGTAGACCAGGCTGGCCTCAAACTCACAGTGATCCTGCCTGCCTCTACCTCCCTAAGTGCTGGGATTACAGGTGTGTGCTACCACACCTGGCATGACCTGTATTTAATTTACTTTTCTCTTAACAATCTCTTCTTTTCCCTCTACATTTTAATTATCTAGATTTTTTGACTGAATATTTGGTTCATTTCTAAGCACCTTCTTTCCTTCTAATCCAATTATGTATGTGAAGCAGAAAGCTACCGGTAGTGGTCTTTTTAAAAACTCTACTATATTTGGGGTGTTTAGGCCTCTACCTCCCTTCCATCAACCCCCCAACCTTCAGTAGGAGAGAGAAAAGGTTAGTGGGGGGAGGGGTCCCAGACTCCTTTACTTCTCCTGGCTAGTTAGGGTCACAGGGTTCTTTTAGGGCTCTTCACCAATCTCCATCAACCACAGATGCAGCTAGCAGTCTCCATACTGCTGTGCCCTGAAGCGTTTCTGTCTGCCCTAAGCTGCCATACTGTCTCTGGTTTCTCCAAACTCCTCCCCTTCAACACCGAACATGACACAAAACGCCACTCTAGAATGCCACACCAAATTCCCCACCAAACACCACACCGTCTCTTTCTTGTTCTCATATTTATACTCTCAGAGTCCTAGACTATGCCCCTCTCCATGAGGCATGAAAAAGGCTGTAACCAGCTGTCAAAAGATGGAGCCCCATATGTGACAATTCACAGGTGTGGACAAACTATAGCCTAACTAAAATCCCACACTTGGGATTAGAACAAAAGCATATTTACACAATATACAAAGAAACCAACTCTTTTCCATTACATGTATGTCCCTTTAGCATTGGTGCTTATTTCCTAAACTATTTTAAACTAACACAGAGCCATTTGTAAAGATCATCATGCTAGATGAATGATCACAAGGAGCTATTCTGATAAGCAATAAGCAGCATTGGGGTGCTGAGTAGATCAACATCTGCAAATCTTGAGACTCCTACCCACACACCTCTCTCTTTCACAGAGCTACCCACTCTGTGATCTTTGAACATAAATTTCTTAGTCTCATCTCAATCTTACGTAGATGGAATCATGTAATAGATATCCTCTTGGATTAGAACATTCTGATATCACCTTTATAAAATTGGTTCCTGTATGACACATTCATCTTCCTCACGTGACGGCCTTCTGCTGTATGAGATGCAACCATGCCCTTCTCCACGCCACTGTTGACAGGTGTGTGTAGTTTGCAGGGTATGGTTTTTACAAGCAGCATTATCAACCGCTTAGACCTTGGCATCCTTCTAAGTAAGGCCTGGACCTCTGAAAGTACTATACAACTGACTGTTTAATTTGCATTTCTCTGAGAGCTTTTTCTAAACATTTTCAAACTTTATTCTTTCAGATTTTGTTTTAGTCACGTCCCTGAAGACATTCTTCTACACTCCAGTCTACACAATCAGGGAGACAACAAGAGCAAAAAACCGGGTCCCAACTGAGCAACGCAGCGGAGGCTGAGGCTGCCTTAGCCGACCGAGCCTGACAGCCAGAGTGCTGGCTCTTAGCTAGTCAGCAAGCCTAAGGAAAGCTAGTCCCATCACTTACACAGAAGCTGGCTGGTAGATTCTGCTACATCACACCCACAACAATTCATTTGTTAAAAAAAATTCTACTTCCTCTGTGCATAGAGAGGAGTTTGGTGTTTAAATTGGAAGCTATGCGGTCTAAGTCCAACTGTTCTCAGAATCCAAATTGCAGCATAATGATATTTCGTCCAACCAAGGAAGAGTTTAATGATTTTGACAAATACATTGCCTACATGGAGTCCCAAGGGGCACACCGAGCCGGCGTGGCCAAGGTCATCCCGCCCAAGGAGTGGAGAGCCAGGCAGTCCTATGAGGATGTCTCGGATCTCCTGATAGCCACGCCCCTGCAGCAAGTGGTCTCTGGGCACGCGGGTGTGTTCACACAATATCATAAGAAGAAGAAAGCCATGACGGTCGGGCAGTACCGTCACCTAGCCAACAGTAAAAAATACCGGACCCCACCACACCTGAATTTTGAAGAGTTGGAGAGAAAATACTGGAAAAATCGCCTCTATGGGTCACCAATTTATGGTGCCGATGTCAGCGGCTCCCTGTTTGATGGGAAGACTCAACATTGGAATGTGGGACACCTGGGAACAATTCAGGACCTATTGGAACAGGAATGTGGCATTGTGATCGAGGGCGTCAACACGCCCTACCTGTACTTTGGCATGTGGAAGACCACGTTTGCGTGGCACACGGAGGACATGGACCTGTACAGCATCAACTACCTGCACTTTGGGCAGCCCAAGACGTGGTATGCTGTGCCCCCTGAGCATGGCCAGCGCCTGGAGCTCCTGGCCAGGGACCTCTTCCCTGCCAGCTCCCGGGGCTGCCAGGCCTTCCTGAGGCACAAGGTGGCGCTCATCTCCCCCACCGTGCTCAGGGAGAATGGCATCCCCTTTGGCCGCATGACCCAGGAGGCTGGCGAGTTCATGGTCACTTTTCCCTATGGTTACCACGCCGGCTTCAACCATGGCTTCAACTGTGCGGAGGCCATCAACTTCGCCACCCCGCGGTGGATCGACTACGGCAAGGTGGCGTCTCAGTGCAGCTGTGGGGAGGCTCGGGTGAGCTTCTCTATGGACGCCTTTGTGCGCATCCTACAGCCTGAGCGGTATGAGCTGTGGAAACGGGGCAAAGATCAGGCAGTTGTGGACCACACAGAGACTATGGGGCCTACCACTCAGGGGCTCACCACCTGGAGGGTGAGCAAAGTACCAAAAAAACCTTGGGGCCTGAGGCATCACCGGCTTCCCCAGGTGTCACGCTCTCCTCTGTCTATAGACACTGACAGTAAAATTTCTTGCAACACCCGGGTGTGCCACACCTCCAGGCAACCATCAGGTGCCAAACGTGATGAGGTCCAGAAGCCTGACCCAGCCACAGCCCCACCACATCCTCTGGGCCTATCTTCTCCTAGTTACCATATGTCAACTGGAAGACGTGGTCTGGGTCGTCGCCCTTGTGAACTAGGAGTACAGGAATCCACCAATGAGGCTCCAGTCAAGAGGCGCCTGCCACCAGGACTGAGCCCAGAGCTTCAGTCCCAGTCCGTGAGTGGAGATGTGATAGAGAACTCTGGACTTGGGAGCCCTGGCCCACAGCATCCTGTAACAGCTCTGAAGGAGGACTGACCTCTGACCCCCGAACCTATGTGTGCCAATAGCTCATTGCCCTGCAGTAGGAAGCTCAATAGGACCTTTGCCTTAGACCGTTGACTGAGTTTGTGGGACACTGGCCATGGCTGACGGAGCTCCTTGTCAGTTCTAACTACTAGACTCACACTGCATCTTCCACTCTCCGGAATTGGCAAGCCTCAGGATACCAGTAATTCCTGGTCTACCACGGGAGGTGTCATTGGCTAATTTCAGCTGAGGCTGCTCAAAACTGACCTCCCATCCTCAGGGCTGTTAGAAAAGGCTGAAAATTCAAGTTTTCCTACTCCACAGCCATTTCTTGCAAAATGTCTAACTTTTTACTACTAGATTAGCAGTCACTAAGGAAGTGTCATACAAAAATGTCCAAAGTTATTTGAGAGTCACAGATGACCTCTTAAAGTTGGTGTATTGAAATTTGTCTCACCAGTTTTCACAAATAAAGGCAAAGCAGCCAAATATTAAAATTACTTTATTTCTAATATTGTGGAACTAATTATACAGAGCAAACTCCAAGCTGGACTTGAAACCTGAGATCTTTTGTTCCACTGTGATCATCACACGTTTATGTGTGTGTGAGCGTATATGTGCGTTCATTCTGATCCCACTATTCTATGATTCATGGGATTCAAATTTGTCTTCTCTGACAGTAAATGATCTGAAATGTTGGGCCAATCTCCAGAACAAAACTTCTTATTTCAAAATATGCTCCAATATTGCAATTCATAACTTTCCTACGTACATTTAAGGAACAGCTTATTAGAGATCAGCTGTCACAAGTTCTCCCTGAGTATCAACTGGCTCACCAGATGACTACTTCCAGTGTCTGATGGGCAGTGCTGTGCAGGGTCTGAGCTGGGCCAGGGACAAGGGTAGCACTGGGATTAAGTCCTGGCTCTCTTAGGGAACGTGGTATGATCTGAAGGAAGCCAGAATAACTGGTGCAAAGGTCCTCATGGAAATGAAGACTGAATCCAGCACAGGACCTCAAATCAACCAATGTTGGTCCAAGAGGCAGTGGGAGCTGGGACACCTCAGGACAAGTGTCCCAGGGCCCATGTGAGAAGGAGTGAACATGGCACCGAGCCTGTGCCAGGAGTCACAGGCACACAGGAGAAAGATAGGTTCTGTGGCATCCAGTGGGTGGGGAGGTCTACCTCATTGGCACTGGGTAAAAGATTGTCACAGCAGGAGAAATGATCAGGCATCCAGAGAAACTTGGCGAGTTCATGGGATGGGATGAGTTGTGGTGGGCTCACCAGAGGACAAGCCCACATCAAAATTGCAGTTGCCTGGAACCATGGTGGGTTTTTTTTTTTGTTGTTGTTGTTGTTGTTTTGTGGTTTTTTGTTGTTGTTTTGTTTTTTGTTTTTTTTTGGTAGACATCAGTTGCCCAGCCACATTTGGCAACATATTTCATACATGGGGTCACAAATGTCAAAACGGTCAAGAGTATAGCTCCACTGTCTGTAACAGCAGACATCTCACAGAGGGGCAGCACCCCTGTGTGCTGTGGGGCCTATGTCTTCCACAGCTACAGTTCTGACCACATTCTTGAGAGCCATACAGTTCCCAGAAGTGGGAACAATCATTCCAGAGGCATGGTGTCCTTATGTGCCCCCAGAGAAACACTGCCACTGTTTGCCATAACTTTGCACTGCAATCCAGGAAGTATTAAAAGTTTCTGCTTCTGTTGAAACAACACTTAGAGTCCCTTACAGAAATAGTCCTACAAAATTGGTGAGGTTTAGACCCACTTCCAATGCAAAAAACAGGCTTATATGTGGCTCTGGGAGAGACCTGCTGCTTCTAGGCTAATCCACCAGGAATAATTAGAAAGCACCTTGCCAGGGTTGGAGAAACACTCAAAAGAGAAAGAGACAAAGACATAAATCAGATCATGGACACCACTCTGTGTTCTCTTGGTCCCCTGCCCAGCTTCTCTGCTATTGGTGTGTACTGGGCCTTTACAGCCCATTCTTACTGGATGAACAGCAGGTCCTCCGTCTTATACCTATATACACAAGTCCATAATTGGGCTCATTCACTAAGACCAATGGGGAATGGAACAGGGCTGCAGACCTTACACAACTGACACCACGACATTCTTCAGGCAGCAACATGAGCAGACAGCATCACCTGCCAAAAGTAAGGCAAAGGCCTAAGCCATCAAAATCTTTAGATGTAAAACCTTGCTTTTTGGCTTCTGTAATCTGCCTCCTGCTAACTGTTTTGTTTAACTGAAAAATGATGAGAATATGGGTGAGGTTTTTTTTTTTTTTTTACTTGTTTGTTTGCTTAAAAGCTTTCTCTGAGCCTGGCCTGGTGACAAAAGCCTTTAATCCCAGGACTAAGAGAGGTTGTGGTAGGCAGATCTCATTGAGTTCCAGGCCAGGCTGGTCTAGAAAGAGAGTCCAGCACAGCTAATGGTACACACAGAAAGCATGTCTGGAAAAGGAAAAAAGAAACCCCTTCCTCTGGCAGCCAGGTGGTGGTAGGACAGAACTTTAAACCCAGCACTGAGAAGCAGAGAAGCAGAGACAGGGATATCTCTGAGTTGGGGCCAGTCTGGTGTACAACAATTAGTTTCAAACCAGCCAGAGCTACAGAGAAACCCTTTCTCAAAACACCCTCTCCCACCTTAAGCCCCCCCCAAGAGAAACCTGAAGAGTTTAAATTAGCCTGGGTGACTCCATTTTGAAATGAGGAGCCATCTTGACCAGGAGCTGAACTCAGGTACCAGGAAATAGCACAGAATGTGCACTTGGCAGAAAACAAAGTTAACCTCTCCTAGAAACAGCCTCCAGGAAATATCACAGAATAAACACTTGATAGAAAATAGAGACAATTTCCCTGGCAATAATCAGTGAGAATTGTTTAGGAAAATTCTCCCCAATGTTCCAGATGTAGTTTAGAATAATGGCAATTGTGATTATGTAGAAGGTCACCTGGGCCCTATGGCTTTTACCCAATCCTGTAACATCAAGGTATGAACCCCCCTGCTTGCTGTTATGGAAACCCCCTGCTTGCAATTTTTCCCTTTAAAAATCCTGTAAACTCAGGGCTCAGGGTCCCACTTCTCTACTTCTGTGTCAGTGACACTTGGGTCCCGAATTTGATTGCTCTTGTAATAAAGCTCTCTTGCTCTTGCATTGAGTCATCTCCTGGTGGTCTCTGAGGGTCTCATGATCCTGGCATAGCATTTGGTTCCCTGACCAGGAACCCTCAGGACTTCTAGGACTACCAACCCAGAGAGTTTAATCCCGCGGGTAAATGTCTTCTGTGTTGTCCGTCTGCTTTAAGTGTTTGTTTGCCTTTACTTTTTGTTCTTTGTTTTGAAAGGCCTTGAGGTATCTGTAGAAGTCGCAAGATGTAGATAAGGTAGATATACTGGGGGCCTACATCTGCTCGGGTCAAAAAGACGTTTTTGACCTCATCAGTTTTGCTCTGGCACTTCTGTGGCAGGGAAACCGGAGTGAGAATCTGCAGGTCTGTGAGTCAGGACCATCCACCACTTTGGAGTTTCTGCTGCAGGGAAACTGGAGCAAGAATCTGAAGGCCCGGGAGTATGACTACACAACCACTGTGTCTGTTTTTACAAGCCAGGTTTTTGGTTTCACTTCATCTCTGTGTTTGATTGTCTACTGCTTGACTTTGAGCCAGAGCTACTGCTTCATTTCTGTGTATGATTAATTGTTTGTGGTTTTGCATTTACCTGAGAATGCTTGGTTCTGCTTGTGTCCAAAGCCATGGCTCTTTTTGCTTCTTTGATTTCAGTTTTGGTCCTGGGAAATTAGCCCCACTACAAGCTGTGATTTATTGTCTTTAGTTTCACTTTTGCCTGAGACAGCTGGCTCCATCTCTGTGCGACTTACTGTTTGTTGAAATTGTCCTTTTTATGTTTTTTAATTCTTCTGATGAATAGACTGACTGACAATATGGGACAGGCTACTTTCAAACCCCTTGCCTTGGTTCTGACTCATTTTAGGGAAGTTAAGACTATTTGCTCACAGTCTTTCAGTTAATGTGAGGAAAGGAAAAATGATGATTTTTTTGCAACTTGGAATGGCCCATCTTCAATGTTGGCTGGCTGTCAGAATTAACTTTCCACCTTCCCACCATCCTTGCATGGGAGATAGAGTCTCAGAAAGCATGTGGGCACCCAGACCAAGTGCCCTATATTGTAGTTTGGAGGGATCTAGTGATTCATCCACCTCCATGGATCAAGCCTTTTCTGACCCTCACTAACAATCCTCCTTCCACAGGCTCTCTGAAACCAGAGGCAGATTCTATGGCTCTTCCCTTATGGGCCACCAGATGCTAACTTAATTGATCTTTTTGAAACTGTTCTTTTTACTCACCAGCCTACTTGGGACAATTGTGAGCAGTTTAAAACGTTGCAGACATTATAGGAGCTCCAACCAGAGATCAAACCCATATTAATAATTATTTTATGTTTTTTGATTGATCTTAAATGGTTAATATGCTTTGTATGTTTTAGTTATAAATTAAGAGTTATTAAATATGTTTAAAGGTTAAATTCAAAGTCTTGCCCTACCAATGCTTTGGTCTCTGCTGGCTCAGGTCTCTGGTGGCAGAGGTCTTACTTTCGGGTTGCTTGGGAATGCATGATTTTGCGCAGAAAGGTTTTTGCGCAAGCAGACAGCTCTTAAAGGGGCAACAGCAGCTTCTCAGGTAAGAAAGTTGCAAGCCTCTATGGTCATAAAAATTGGATTCAACAGGTAGCAAGATGTTTCTCCCTTGAAATTACAGCTAAAAGAAGTAAAAATAAATTTTGTCTGTCTGGTTTTGAATATATAAGTTTACTATGTTCTATATATCTTGATGTCTGATTATTGGCTATTAAGTATATGGCATTTTACATAACCTCTGTCCTGTCTTAAAGACCGGGTTTATAAAATAATAAGGTTTGAAACTCTGCTTATATAAAATATTAAAACTGCTCCTCCATGTGTTTGTATACAAGAACTTTTCTTGCTGGCAGCCAAAGTTTATAATATCAAAATAATACATTTGGTATTGATTTTAAAAGTACTGAATTGTTTACATTGATAAAATTTGGTTTTGACTTTTGAAATTATGGTTATGCTTTGTGACTTCATTCCTAAAAAGGATACTTTATTTTGATATTGCAAAAACAGATTTCTTCTAAAATTATGTTTATTTTAATATTGCTAAAACAGGTTTTGAAAAATGTTTAAGGCTATGAAACATTTTAAAGTTTATCAGGCATTTTAAACAATGACCTTGAGCAGTCTAATAGGGAATTTGGAACAGTTTTTCAATCCTTTGGAGGAGGACAACAGACTTTGGTATTTATTAATTTTACCAGATGAATCCAAGCCATACTGTTTGAGCCAATTAATAAAATTGCAGTTTTACAGTGTATCGTGTCAGGAGCATAAAAATCCATGGAATAATATAATAAAACAGTATATAGATATATAATAAAAATTTTTTAGGTTGTCTGAAAAGAAAGAGAAATGTCTGGCTAAATCAAAAGAATGGAACAGGAAAAAGCCTAACC